ATTCCGACCCCATCCGACTCCGCCCCCCCTGCGCGCAGATGCGCACGACTGTCCCACTTCCCCCAATCCCGATACCGATCCCCCCTTCCCCCCGCTCCGACTCTAATCCCGACTTTCCCCCCCCCCGCTCCCGATCACACTTCCTGTCCCCCAACTTCGATTTCCGCCCCCCGACTTCACCTCGACTTCCCTCCCCGAACTTCCCTCCCCCCCTACCCTCCACCCGATTACACACCTCTCTGACCTCTCCCTGATCGTGCACACGTGCACGTTGTCGAGTGCATTGGTCCCGCGCCACGCAGGGCGGGACCCTCCCGGCCGCGAATACACATGGAGCTTCCGCAAGCTGCTCTGGCCGACTGCGCAAGCCATACCTCTCACGAGGCCCTACAACAGGATAGGGCCAACACGAGGCACGACTTACCTCCACCTTACGGGAGTTGTCACCTCCCTTCGGTGGGCGTATCCCCGCCGAGCTACCAGTCCACAGTACGAAAGCTAATCAGTTGCAATCACAGAGGTGGACCAGCCAAGGGCGTTTCTTGGTCGCTGTAGCATAGTGGGTACGCGTGGTCATACACCTCTATCGAACCCACACGCGAACCGACGCACTGGGAGGCTGAAGTCCCAAGCGCGACTCGTCATCGGTTGACTAGGACGCATCCCACGTACCACGGGATACACCACAACACACACACCCATGGAACGACACAAAACAAACAACTCAACAACACTCCTAGTACCTTTTGTAGTTCTCCCATAACCTTTCGATGCGGAAATCGGGTAGGCATCGTGCGCAAGACTTACTATAAAACGGCACGGACGTAGAGTTTTCCCATATCGACTCGCAATGCATGCTTACGCACGCGGTCGCAACAATGACATACTATGTAGTACCCATAATCATGCGGTCCTCGCTAATCTTGAGGGTCGCATTCGACACTCAAGTGTCGGCTGACACGCGCCTTGAGGGGTCAATCTCTCGACGCTAGACAACCGCCAAGTGCGGTTGAGAACCACGCCCTTTTTTGCATCCTGCGGAGAGTGGGTGGTACACAGGTTCATACCTGTGACAGGTTCATACCTGTGGTGGCAATCATCTCTTATTGCCCTGGAGACCGGCTCTATCATCTAGGGCCTTGAGAGAAGTCAAGGGGTTTGACTTTGACGGCTGCCAAGGATTCCAACGTTCAACCATAAAATTAACAAGTAAAATTACTCAGTAAATAGACAGGTACTCCGATATCCATATTAAATCAGAACTCGAGATAATTCCAAAGAAGGAAAGATAAACCCATCAGGTCTGCAGATCATGCGACACATGGTTGTCATGCTCACTGCCTCCAAAGTATGGCTCGTACACAGGCTCCAAGACACTTACCTGTATAAAACACAGATACAGACGAACACCACGTTGCCATACACCAATGTGGTCAACTTTATTGTTCCCTGTAACTCACACCACGCCTCACACACTCAAGCCCCAACCATAGTTCAAATTTCCATAAAATGTCATAAGTTCTTTATATTGGTCATTAAAAGAAGTTCGGTTAAAACTCTCAAAGAAACTTGTCAAATCTGAAGGCTAAGGTATCAAGTTGAGGTACAGGTATAAGCAAAGTTGTGTCGTGAGCCGACAAGTCAGCGATCAACCAAACGATCTGTTATCAGTGATAACAGAAGATGATCCTCGTGGGATCAAGATAAAACTAGTCCAATCCTGAATTGAATCAATCAAACGAAGGACCTGTAACACAAGGCAGACCAATTATCAAGGCTTAACTATCAGTTGTATGGGGAAGGAATCTCCATAGCACACCTTCACTCAAGATCTCCTAATAACAAAGTCTAAGGCAGAATCTCCCCTATGCAGAGTGGATTGCCAAGCCAAAAGTCGTCACCTGTCATAATATAATCTAACTCCTTTCAACTAAGAAAATTTTGGTAGTGCTTCCCGTAGGAAAAGTACGTTCTCATAATTTATATCAGCCCAAATATGAAAGTTGAAATAATCTTTAACTCTAGAAAAACAAAATTTGTCTAACTTCCTAAATTAGTAAAAATTTGGGCAACATCTCCTTTAAAAAAGTAGCCTTCCCAGATTTATACTAAGTTAGATCAGAACTCAAAGTAAACTTGAGTTCAGCCAGGACAAAATTTAACTAAACTCCTTAGATTTGTAGAAATTTCGACAGCGTTTCCCGTAGGGAAAGTAACTTTCCAAAATTTATACAAAGTTAAATTCAGAATCCAAGGATAACTTTAACTTCTCAAGGTCCAATTTTGTCTAACTCTCTGAATTAACAAAAATTTGGGCAACACTCCCTTTAAAAAAAGAAACTTCCTAGACTTTTACTAAGCCATATATAAAATTTAGACAAGTTGAACTTTGAAGAGTCAAAGTTTGACTAACTCCTTAGTTTCATAGAAATTTCGACAGCGGTTCCTGTAGAAAAAGTAGCTTACCAAGATTTATACAAGACCAAGTATAATAAATGATCCCAGAAAATGCAAGAACTGACCTAAGTAAAAGAAAGTTGGCTAAGAAAATGCAGAAATTGAACTAACTCCTAT